TCTTATCTTTAAGCCCTTGTACCCTGGTCCTGTACTGTTCGGTGAAGGAAACCGTGGTTACTGAGGCCATGTCAAAAGTGCACGTCTTGTCCAATAAATCACGCTGCAATTGGTGTCCATCCCTGAGTTGCTGGGGTCAGAGTCCTCTCCAAACCCTGAGCAAAGTCATGTGGGTCTGACTATGGGCAGCCGTTCCCAACCCTCATACCCCCCACTATGTACAAGTGAAAGAAAGGGGAGGAAAACCTTCCTGCTGGAAATAGATGGGACTTCACTGAAGCCCAGTCTTCGAGATTCTTGGCTATTACGAGAGCTTGTGACTTCTGGAGGCACCAAGCTTGGACCTCCCCACCAGTGAACATAGAGGGCAGTCCAGCCCCTGATATATTGCTCTAGGAAAAGACCTTGCCCTTGCCTGTGACCTTGTCTTAGGGCCCTTGGGAATAACCTCTCTTTCAAGCTCAGAAAACAGAGAGCTTGTGAACTAAAGTTGGGTATCTTGTGAAAGTTGGCTACAATCTCAGATCAAAAGCTCTTGGGTTTTGTTATTGTTTTGTTTTGGAGACCAGGTTTCAGGTAGCTCAGGCCAACCTCAAACTCACTATGTAGCCCAGTATAACCCTGATCTTCCTGCCTCCACTTCTCAAGTGCTGGGATTGCAGGCGTGTGCCACCATACCCGGCCTGAATTCTTGTTTTATTCCCTCCCTCCTCCTATTCTGGACCTGAGCAGTGTGGCAGGAAGACAGTAACTGAACAACAAAAGTGCAATGAACAGGGAGAGAGGCTAACGCAGTTGTAGCCCCTCCCTCCTTCCACAGACCTCAGAGACCACCGAGGAGGCCTTCAAGGACTGAAGGAAACCCACGGAGCCAGGTGTACTTTAAGATGGTTTTTAATAGAAGAGTTGGGGTCACAGACAAGCAGCCCTTCCCACCCAACCATATGGTCAGAGTTGGGGCAGCTCCTGGGCCCCCGCCCTCTCCATATTCCCCCTCCCACCCCTAGTGCCTGAAGAGAAATTTAATATCCAGTTTCCTCCAGCAGATCAGTTGACCCTATGGGGAGAAGACCCGACTCACACTGTGCCTCCTGTCTGGGCTCCTGAGGGCTGAGAAACCCCTGTATCAGAACGAAGCTTGCTGGAATACAAGGCCCAGGCCTGGCAAGCTGGGACTCCACAGGACAGCAGCTTTTCCCCATTTGGGCAGCATTCAGCATCGATGTGCCTGGCACAGCCCCCATCCCCAGCTGGAGCACCGTTTTAGTCAACAGAGGACAGAAGGAGGGTACCACAGGCTGCTTGTCCACACAGCTGGTGGCTTGGCTGCCCGGGTTGGGTACTGAAGCTCTAGAAAGCATGGCCCCTTGGGAACATGGATGGGACAATAGACATTGGTGCCAGGACTCCCGACCATTCAGGGGACCTGCTGACCCTGGTCCAGTCCTTCTTTTACAGTAGGGAGGAAAACAGATGTGGCCTCCTCCAGTCAGGGAAAGTAGTGGGTGTAGTCCTGGACTTGCGACTGAGCTTGCAGGACAATCTGGTTATTCATCTGCTTGCAGTCAGGGCAACTTGAAGTAACTGGGGGAGGGGTGAGGATCAGCGAGCCCAGATAAGCCGGCCCCATAGCGGCTGCCTTTGGAGTTCAGGTTATCTGAAAGGCCCTGGGCCTGGCCTCCAGCTAATTGGGAAGGCTAGGGACCCAGCCATAGCCTGTAATCAGCTGGAGGTGAGATCTGGACAGGGGACCTTACTGCCACTAGCCCTAGAGCAGCCAGCCTCTTACCCTCCACAGATAACATCCAAAACAACCGCCACCTCCCCACTGCAACTCCCCTCCCAGACCTCAAGATAGCATCACTCAGAAGGTCATCGGAACACGAATCTAATTGTGGCTTGGCCAGGTGACCTTGAGGAAGGCAAGTGACCTCCTCATTCTCACAGCACTGCCTACTTACAGGGCTCTCTCCCAATCTGATGGAAGAAAAACATCTTCTTGGTCTAGAAAGAGGCTTATGGGGACTGGGATGGCAACTCAAAAGGCATGGTACTGTCTGAGATAGATTCAATAAAAGGCTCAGTGGTCCAAGGGCAAAATCACACACAAGCATAGACATCAGGGCCAACCCTGCCAGGGGCATGCAGAAGCCAGGCCATACAGCCAGAAGGCTGCAACTGGGGAATTTCTCAATACTAGTTTTTTTTTTTTTTAATTTTTACAAATCACAAGCTGTAAACCCAAAGATGTCACCCACCTGTTTTTGCTGCTGACAAGCCTGAGTCCCAAGAAGGGCAGGGCCTTTCCCAAGGTCATGGATTCACACAGCTAGTCAGTCAGCTGAACCCTGTCTGCACCTTGCTGCTCCGTGTGCTCTGGCCAGTTCCTGTACAGCCACTTAGATTCCAGCTGACCTCTCCCTCCAGTGGCCCCCAGACAATCCCAGACCCATTTCACTGACTCCTAGGTCCTGTCTCTTCAAGTTTCCAGCTGGAGCTTCTGGCTGGCTTTGAAACTGCTCCCCAGGTAGCCCATCCCTCCCCCACTACCTCCTGCGGACCTGGTCCTAAAATCCAGAGCCCAGTTTGAAACCCTAGAATGCCCGGTGTGGCTTTCCTCTCTGAGCATGACAGCAATGCCACCACTTAGAAATGCCTTTCTAAGGAGTGGGTTTGGGATCTGTGTGTGTGTGCCTTTTTGAGGTTCCAGGGTTCCATTCTGGCTTTTCCACCAGGAGCTACGTGACTTTAGGCAAATTGCCTGCAGCTTTAGGCTTCAGGATATCTCTAAGGAGAGGTACTGGGTAGAGCTGTGCTAGCGGGGGCAGCATGGCTAAGGTAAGGGGGCAGGATACAGGTCAGAAAGGCAGAAGGGTGTTCAGAGGCTACAGTCCAGGGAGTTCATTGGTGGGAACAGGACTACGGTGGTGGGGCAGGGGCAGAGCAAATTGTGACCGCGCTGTGCCCCAGGTACTCCAGAGAACCCGCCTTCCCTTCCTGGTGCGGGCCAAAACAAACCAGCCTGTTGAGTGCCCACCGACCAGCCACGCCCCATTGTTGCAGGTGAGCCAGTCCCTAGGAGCCCTTCTCAAGCTGGTTCCCTCTCCTGAGATCACAAACACCAAACCCATGTCCAGGCTCAAGTTCAAGACTTGCACCTCACTTTTGTAGCCTTGCTTGTACAGAGAGCCACAGCTGCACCCCGTGGAACCAAGGCTCAGAATATTCAGCAGTTTAGAGGCGTTATAAGATTCCTAAAAACTCTGGGGAAAGTCGTCCAAAATCGACAAGGACACCTAGGTTCCTAACCACTATGATCTCTCAAAATACAGGGAGATGTCGCTCCCGCCGCCAACTCCCGGTGCTAGTGTGCCCCCAGGCAAGGCTGCCTAGCTGGGCCTCGCCTTCCTGGGCCTTCGCATCAAACTGACAGACAGGCACTGGGCCACACAGTCGCTAACTATTCCATTGCTTCCCAGAACCTGACGAGGAAGTGGCCCTTGGCTGGTCCTGGCACCAGA